AAAAAATAATCAAAATACATGCAAGCACCTATTAAATTAGTTCCTATATATGGGGGATGTATTGAAAATTTGCTAAACGTAATAACAAAGTTAGTATATATCAGCATCGCATAGGGGAGCTTGTATAAAAAACAGGCTTAAATGACTAAATTAAATATTCAAACAATGTCTCCTGCACGCTAAATATATGAATAAGCATAATATAAATGCCATTGCGTATGAATGTGCGTGTGTGTAAATACGAATTCGTAACTGGCCTGAAATTGAAAAAGAAAAATAAAAAAAAAAAAAACAAAAATCATTAAATACATATCTTCTCACGCCTACAACTAATGAAAAGGTAATATATTGGCATGTGAATCCTTTGGCTTGTCTTGTCGTGCGAACCGCTTCGGATAGCTAAACGAAATTAAAGTCCTTACAATCCGCCTGAGTGACCGAGCAGGCAAGAGTCTCGTCTAGCAACTCTCAATGGTCGTGGGTTCAAGTGCGGTAGAGTTGTTAATAAAAGCCGAACGCCTTAGAAGGCTAATGCTTTAAGACTTAGTCTTAGAATTTATTCTCTGACTAAATTTATATAATAAAAATAATAATAATAATAAATTACTTATAAGCTTCCTAAACTGAATTTTTGGCATATTTTTCGCTTAAAGCAAGAGATAAAAAACATAAACAAGAGCGCGACTCAGACGAAGCTTGAATGTTACGCTTAAGATATTTCGCGACTTATCTTTCGTAATAAGTCGGGAGAAGTGTCTTTCACCATTATTTATTGTATGCAACTTGCAAGTCATTGCGATCGGTAGCTTTCAAATAAGTTGAATTTTAAAAGTTTCTAAATTTGAACGGACCTCTACCTACCTCTAGCGGAGACAAGCATTTTTCATATGTTTTCTTGATCAGTAAAAAACAAAAAAAGAAGCGAAATATTATTGTGTACTTAACATATTGTAAGCGCAAAGTTTCGCATTTTTGTATCTCTGACCTTTTTGTTAATTATATGTCAACAGATCTGTACAAAATTAAGATAAACAAGTAGAAATATAGCTATAATTAGGCTAGGCCGATCATTGGATAACCCTACACAACTCGGCTTAATTAATAATGCATCGAAATTTATGTTTATATGTGTTGTTTTTATGTGTGGGCATAATTTTCATGAAAGGCCTTTCTTCGCCTTAATGCACACTCGAACGTCAAGGTGATTTAAATTAAAAAAAACTTAATTTACTTGTCAAAGATTTCATTAATTTCGGGATGCGTTCATCGTAGCAAATCACTTATTAGAAGAGTTTGCTTTTATTAGAGGACCCATATATATGATATAGTCTAACAACTGGATCTATGTGATTCAAACTCTCTATGCAAGATACAAATTCCGTAGGAACGATTAGAACTGTTTTCAATACACATCAGGCACCCCCCCAAATATCATTAAAGTATCTCGAAAATTGCGACCTATGGATTGAACACAAGATTACACGGACAAACGGAAAAACGGACGGGCGGACAGACAAGCAAAATGTATATAATAAAAGGTGGGTCTATCTAATGTCCTTCTGGGTGTTACGTACTTCCGCACAAACTTAAACGCATAATTTTCACCACAAATGACGTAGGATACAATGACGGAGAAAACAGAATCGAATGATTTACCTCACATCACCTACTATCAAGTTGTCATTCAACTTATTCAAGATTAAGTAAAAAAGTCACGCATGCGTGTCAATCGGACAATTGTAGCTTTTATTTTTTTGCATGTATCTGGTATCCGTGGTCTCACCAGATGCTTGCATCACAGCCCAATGTTTCTTATTAGTTGTGGCTTAAAAAATTCTTTTCACCTATAGTTAGTGGCAGTCTAGCAGTCTGCCCTCGATTCTAAATTCAACTATTGGAGGCGTCGGTTTGTAAGCTGATTCCATCACTATTAACAAAGTATATAGAAAATGATTTACGTCAACTTTTCAGGTTTTTATGTTAATTTTTTTTTTTTGCTCATCATCTGATATCGTATACTAAATTTCGCACTTCGTTATTACATTCGAATGCCGTGGATAAAAGTTTTGTTACATTTCGCTGTCATATAGACGGCGAAATTAATTATCGCATAAACAGTTCAAAATTGTTCGGATCAATTTTTTACTTTGAATCATTGCTAAGAAGAAATGAATTCGAATCATTTTTAATGATATTAGTCGCAGGCCATGATAGGTGGCTCATATACGGCAATTATGTGCGGGAGAAAAAAAAACGTAATCCCAAATGCATGACGTTGCACAAAAGGTGACAAGCGCTAAGAATGACGCCACGTAACGTAGTATATTATGGTTAAAGGTTAGGAAGAGAATCATTTGTTGCGAGTCGTTTCAACTCCGCTAGCAGCTAATGAGATGTAAAGTGTCCCGAATTGGTGAAAAGGAAGTAAGAAAAGTCTCGTCTACCACCTTACCCCTGCCCGACTACAAATATTTGCATATAGTCTGTCCATTTTTGCTCTCCTCAGACCTGCCTTAATGAAGGAAAGATGCTTCTATTAAGTCACTCGATTCCAATTTATTTGCAATTGGGTTGTGTAAAGGGCGTAAAGGGCCCGGAAAGGGAATTTGATAATATGTATTTATATTTAATGGAATTTCGGAATTATCTCCACATAATATGAAAACAGCTTTCAATGTTCCTTTCAAGGCTTTATCTCAGTTTCTAATTTGATATGAGCAGATCATAATCATTTTTTTGACTTTGATTTCTCAATCGATCAAATCATCAAATTGATTCATTTTGATAGAAATAGAAATTTTTATAATTGCTCGAAAACTCGAAAACTAGATCGAGTAGAGAAAAACTAATTATAGCCGTTTTATAGATAAGAGTCACCAAAAAATGTTGGAGCTTTCGATGCCTTATAACTAACTGTATTATTGAAATTCCAAAGTTGAAAATGTGCGAATAATTCAAAAAATGAAAAAAAAAAAAAATTTAATTCAAAATCAAGTAAAACGAAGGCGACTACCCGAAGAAGAAAGACGTCACGTGAAAACAGGATTGGGTGTATTTCGTAAAATTTTAAAAGGTAAAATTCGTTTACCTTGTAAGCAGTGAATAAAAACCCGAACTAAAATCAAGCAAAAGTGAAATAATATTGAAATAAATTTAAAGATTGTATGGGGATAAAATTAAGCTGAAACTAATTAATATTGCTTGAGTTTAAAGTGCGGGGTCAGAGATTATAAACATATATTTCTACGTATATGCAATAGATATATAAATGCGTAGACATATATATAAATATATAAATATATACATATATATATATATACATCAATAATATTATATATGGTTGTGTGTATTAAATGCATATACATATAGACAAATACATATATCTCACTATGAAATTGTAACTGTATGCATGCGCATGCATGCGGAGTTCAATGTGCCATTTCAGTTGCGGTGGAGGCATAATCACTTAGCTGAATGTCGTGAGTCAAAATCTAGGGCGACCGATTGAGTAATACAACCTCAAACATAGAAATACACAGCCTCGCATACAAAATAAGTAAAGTAATAGAAATAACAATTGCACTGCCACCGCCACAACAACTTCCACGATCGCGGTGGTTAAAAAGAATACACATACGAAGCATAAGCACTTCTATTAAATTTTTATGTAAATTATTTTTCTTTTCTCCTTTACATCTCTGCACCGCAAATGCTCTATAACCAATAAAGACGTTCGTTCATACGCTTAAACATCAAAGGCATAGACAAAGCGTCATATGCACATGCTTTGAAAAATCAGTAAGAATTGAATGAATGAAATACAACATATTATCTGCATATATGCATATACATATATACCAGACATACATATAAATACTTATTTGTAATGTGAGATATTGATTTAACTTTCAATATGAATTTGATTTAAATATAATTTAAATAAATAAATTTGAATAATAAAATCATTAATATTGTGCATAGATAAAACACAATATGCTAAAATGGTTAGATTATATACCTATATGTGTGTATATATGGATATATGTATATATATATATATATATATATAAATAAATATGTATATATGTATATATGTAGGTATGTGTATTCGCGTATGCACATTTGTTAATGTAAGCCTTATATTGTATATTGATTACCTTTGTAGTTTGACTTTAGTACAGGAACTCAGAAATTATAAAACAATAGTTTTCATGTGCTTAATGATCACGCTATTCGTATGTTTGTTTGTTTGTTTGTTTGTTTGTGTAGAGCAAAAAAAAATATAAAAAAAAAAATAACAACAACAGCAACAACAACATCAGAAATAGATAATAATATTTAAAAAAAAAAAAAAAAAGAAATACAAAAAACTACAACAACAACAACAACAACAACAACAATACCATTAACAAAATGCGATATCAAGGAAATGTATTTAGCGAACTGAGCGTAATGCGAAAAACTACAGCAGTATGAAATCATCTTCCGTAAAATTTGCACCTACAACTGATTCGCAATTATGTAAAAATAGAAAAAATGAAAAAACAATTGCTTAAATTGAACGTCTTCTTCTTCTTCGGCTTTTGAATAAACGAATTTAATATTATTATTAATATTATTATTATTATTATTATTATTATTATTATTACTATTATGCATAAGTGAAAAAATTATGGAAAAATTGCCAAAAATTAAAGAAAACAAAAACGAAAAAGCACAATCAAGTGAAATGTCTAAAAAAAAGAAGAAAATTAATTATCTAATAATTTAAAGCATAAACAAAAAAATGATATTATAAAATGAATTTTGATTGATTGCCACTGCTTATAAAGTACACGCGTACTTAGTTATCGTAGACTCCTAATCTATCAAGTGGTTGTTACAGAGTGTGTGCGTGTGGGTGTGAGTTAGATAGATAGATAGATAGATAGAGAGAGAGAGAGAGAGAGAGAGAGAGAGAGAGAGAGAGAAAGAGAAAGAGAAAGAGAGAGAGAGAGAGATAAAGAAAGAGAGAGGGAGAGTTTTAATATCTTTTGTCCCTTACTTTTTTTTTTTTTCAATATTTATAATAATTGCTTGCACTACTGTCAAGTTATGCAGACAGAGTACAAAAATTTGCTAAAAAAAATTTGTCAAATGATCGAATGGTGGTGATTTTACTGTTACCGCCATATTATAACAATGGCTGTGATGGAAGGTCGAATGATAGCAGCAACAGCAGCGCGTCATCAACGTCCACTGGCGATACTGCCATACAAGCATTTAAATATGCTAACCACACGAAAACTATACCAGATCACAATAACAATAACAACAATAATAATAATAACAAGAAGAACAAGCTTAGTGATAACAATAATAATAATCAAATTTCAACGCATTACAACACCATCTCGCTGCCGTATTATTGTTATGAGCGTGTTGATACGGAACCGTTATCTGTTAACACTAGTTACAGCAATTATCCAACATCAACATCAACATCAACATCAGCATCAGCATCAGCGATTGCAACAGCAGCCGCAATTGAAAGTGCAGTGTCGTCATTACCACCATTATTGCAAGCGAAAACAACACCGCCACCACCTAAACCTAAACCACCTAATCTTTTTTTCAATTATTCTTCATATGGTAATGACTGGTGCTGTAATAGTGCCATTCACGCCAAACATTGTCCGAATATTATACCAAAACCACCACGATGCCGAGCACAGCCATCTTTGGAAACCATACCGGAGCATCCAGTGCAAAAAACGAAATCATACCATCACCGCGGCCCAAACAATAGAAACAATAGTACAACAATTAAAACCAAAACTGCCTCAACGGCTTTACTTAATTCTAACTATTCTACTAACTCCAATAATTATGTACGTCACGTGACACGTGTTAATTTCTATGATATCGATACTAATTCCCAGGTCGAATATGATGATAATGATGATGATGATAATAATAATGATGATGATGATGATAATGATGATAATGATGATAATGATGGTGATGATAATAATTCCAAAGATGATAAACACGATAAGGGCAACGATGACAAAAAGGATTACAATACAGAAGCTATTACCAAAGAAGGTAAGTAAAGACAAGAATTTAATCAAGAGAAGAAATATGCATAAGTGAATAAAATAATAATGTTTCATCATTCGGACTTAACCTCACAAAAATGCTTAGGCTTAAACAAGGCAAACTATTGAGAGTCTTGCACAGTAGATAAGGTCTTATAGGCGCGGTTATACTCGATTGTCGATCCATTCGTTAAAATTGTTTAAAAATTATAGAAAAAAAAAAAAAATATTTGACACTAGAAGGAGAAGTTTATCATAAGTGATATATTAATGCGATATTTGATTGTAAGATAATGAAAAGTTCGAGTATTTCATTAAGAGATAATCGAAATAGAAAACTCCAATTAATATACGATATTTGAAATTATATTTTTTAACATATAGATGAAGCGTCCCAAAACTACCCATGATGTCGCAAATGGAGTCGCAATAGTAAGTTATTGGACGAGCTAGGAGTGCGACACAAAAACCCTCGGTCTTCTTTATATCAGACATATTCAGTTTCGAAATGTATTCCCTCCCATAAGCGGTCAACTTTTTACAAGTATATATACGTAAAGACTAAGAGGAAAGCATTCAAGTTTTTTTGAGCGAATCAATTGAAATAAATTTAAGTGACGTTTGAAGGGAAAGAAAATCTGAGAACAAATTTGTTTCTTTAGGTATATTCTCGCACTTATAAGTGCGATTTCCTGCAAAATGACAACATTGATCTTGTTGCTCGCACGCTCATCGCTCAAAAACCCCAATGCGATAGTAGCGTCTGTCTTAGTTACGATTAGTGTATGACCCTTAGCTAAAACATTAAAGAGTGCATCGTGCACACATCCCTCCCAGATTGTGGACACTTTATAACTTTCTTTCTCTCTCTCTCTCTCTCTCTCTCTCTCTCTCTCTCTCTCTCTCTCTATCTATCTTTCTCTCTCTCTCTCTCTCTCTCTCTTTCTCTTTCTCTCTCTTTCTCTTTCTTTCTTTCTTTCTTTCTTTCTCTCTCACACTCTGTCTCCCTGTCTCTCCCTCTGTCACACTCTCTCTCTTTACCAACATCTTTTTAAAATAGCCCGCGTACAGTCTTTTATACTCTTGTGATTAGTGTTTAGTGTACATAGGTACTTTAGCAACTATCAATTCACTGATTCCCGAATATGATTCAGGAAAAGAAGATATCATTTTTCAATAGTTCAAATTTTGGCAAATGCGAGAAACTTTGCGCGTTAAAATAAAATTTCATATTTTTGAAGACTCCTCTGTCTGTCTCAATAACTAGACATATGTATGTACATATCAATAGATCGATTCGCATTAATGAACAATCTACCAAGCATATATATGTAAAATTGAAATTTTCTATATAGACGAGTGTAAAAGCTATTTTGTTCGAAATATTGTCCATGGCTGGCCATACAGTTTCTCCATCTGTCTCGCAAATTTTTGGATGCAAAGCCAAAAAAAAGTATTGCGGCTTTCGAGGCAATACCAATCATCGAGCCATTCTCGTGCATTCTTGTAAGATATGAATCGCTGCTCAGCAGGTGCGTATGCCATCGTAATCGGAGGCAGACAAGTCTAGTAAGTAAGTTGCATTTAAGTGCGTCCAACGGGTCATCAACCTGTCTTATCGTATCACTACTTTTTCTTAATGTTCTGATTGTTTTTTGTAACAATGCACGGTTCAATTCGATTAAGCGTTTCGGTCTTACGATAGATATCGATGCGACGCCTGAATCTACGTATGAATTGTTTCATCTCGGCTCCCAAAAAATAGAATCACTTTTCATCCCAGGTTAGGGGCACTTTTGTAAATGCACCGCTTGGGCCAAAGAAAAAATGACGATCGACGAATGCTCGCTTTTTGTCACAAAAATCGACATCTGCGTTAGTATATTTGCTCGATAATATGTGCTGGTAAACCGATTTATTGTGCTTGCCAGATGTCCCGGCTATAAAAAGAAATCGCAACTTTACACGTCTATTCGCTCTACACGACGACAGGCAGGACTATCTATGAACAAATTCCGGTTTCATACTTACGTATGCGCCGCGCAATTAATAAAGTCTTTGATATACATTTCTCTATATAATTTTTTACTTATCGTATACACGTAAAGGGCTGTTAAGTATTTTTTTTTTTTTACCAACCATAGCGCATATATATTTTTATTAGATTCGTGTATTAAGAGAATTATTTTGCTACCAAAAAAAAAAAAGTAAAAGCAAATGCTGAGCAAGTGCTGAAAACATTATTTTGATGCTTTTTGATCGTCAAATATTAGACAGACAGTCAGCGACAAATATTTAAAAAAATCAGCTCAAACTGAATATTGTTTTGTTTTGTTTTGTATTTTTTTTTTTTCTTGACTCTGTTGTTAAAATGTGAGGAGATTTGTCGAAAGTGCAATCAGTGCACTTTGAACAAATGTGAAAGATCATATTACCATCAAGTGAATTTTTTACTTTATTCATTAGAAACACAAACGCTAACGAGAATTATCTCGAAGTAATAAAATCGATTCAAAACTTATCCATTAACTATTATACGTGCAAGGGTTAAAGTTCCAATTGGTGGCAGTGATGATGGAATGAATAGATTTATGGCGGATATAAAATTGAAGCGCTTTTCACAATAAATGCGAATAGAGCCGACACTTGCTTGCTTCTTAATTGAAATCAATTTGACAGAGAGAGAGAGAGAGAGAGAGAGAGAGAGAGAGATAGAGAGAGAATATAAAAAAACCTCTATTTACTGATCGCATGAATAAATCAACTTTTTTAACTTGAGATTTCCTGTAGTTAATCGCTTCATATAATTATCACAAAATTTCTTGAACAAACAACAAATTATAACAATAATAAATATGTCAAACGTATAAACATATTTATGTAAATAGACATAGTTATGAAAAATACTACAATTTCTTGTATACACCACATACCATTTGAACGGGTAAAGGAAATAACCTCTTTTTGTGTTTGTTTGTTTGTTTGTTTGTTTGTTTGTTTTTTTTTCTTTTTAACTATAACCGTAGATATGTTTTTTTAAAAATTGTGACTAGTGTGAGTCAAATGCCCATCGGCGATTAATAAATAAAAATTGTGGATTTCCTAATAAGGTGTTGTACACATTTGATTAACAGCTCATTGCACATAAAGTAAAGTTACATACAAAGAAAGACGTGTTAATTTACTTACGTAGGCAAACAAAAAAAAAAAAAAACCACCGAACAAAAAAATATACAAAAGAAATAATAATATTAATCACATGCAACGGTTGCTAAATTAAAGTTTCATCATTTTGATTAGAATATGGACGCATACAGAGAGCAGGGCGTACATTAAATGCGATATGGATATCGAAACCAAATTGGCCGTCGATTATTTCCTAATTTATTTATTATTATGCCCGTTATTCGTTGTTGTCCGCTTAAATAGCAATAAAATGAAAAGAAAAAAAAAAAAAAATAAAAATAATTTGCATAAAAATCTGTATTTAATGCGGATACATTTCAGTTTAGTTATTCATAACAATGTATCTGTCGACGTATGTAACTGTGCACTATAGCAGACAAGCAGTGTTTACACTTTATTCATTCGGTCTTTTTTTTATGTGTGTGTGTGTGTGTGTGTGTGTGTGTGTGTGTTTGTGTGTGTGTGTGTGTGTGTGTGTGTGTGTGTGTGTGTGTGTTTATGTGTCTATATCTGTATCTGTGTGTGTGTGTGTGTGTGGCGTAGAGAGTTTACTTGGGTAAAGTGTACTTACACTACTCACTACCAGTGACCTTTAATGGTCCAGCGAATGCAACGGTGCATTTTGTGAAATACTAGAAATGGAAATTGTACTGCCGCCGTTTCTTCAAATTTCATAAACATGAACACCGACTATTAACAACAACAACAAAAACAAAAACAACAAAAACAACAAA